TAGGGAAATTGCATTGCAAGACTCAGGTTATCCTTTGTGCTGCTGCATGTTAGCCATGGCTACTGATTGTCAATATTTTCATCAGCATACAGTATTTCATCTCATCTTTAGCCATTACTATAGTAAACATTTTGGCTCCAAGCAGAACCATACAATGATGTGCATTAGTCTTCAACAGTATCCTATGATTACCTTTGAAGAGAAAGCAAACACTTCATAATTATATGGACAATTATCTCTCTGAAGAGCTTTCAAATGGTGTTTCTCATATTTAATAAAATAAAGCTTCAGTTCATGATGAGCATAGCAGGGTTTAATCTTAATTTTTATCTTTTCACATCCATTTCATGTTACAGAAACTGCAGAGCTGACTGCTGTTGTAACAGAGCTGCTTTGAAAACAGTTTTCATCTGAACAAGCATCACTGGATGGCATTGTACAGTAGTTGTGTCTTGATGTACTCTCACAGGTACTTGCTATTGCACTCCATAAAAGAACTTTGTGTTTTAGAGCTTCTTATTATCATCACCTGTATATTTGTGTTCTGTCACAGTGACACAAAACATTTCACAAAATGCAGTTACCATTTCCAAAATTATTTTTTCTCCCAAAGAATTTACAGTTTTACCTTGAACTGGTCATTGAAGCTGGGAAGAGATATTGTCTGAAGGCACTATTTCTAAGATTTTTCATCAATACAATAGAAATTCAGTCAGAAAATTATACCGATGAAGGACAAAGCAAAGTGAATTACAGAGAGAGGACAGAAGGGCACATGGGTACTAGACAGACAGGAATTGTTGCTCAAGAAGGCTACAGTGTTGTGAGGGTAAAGGGGTGAAGCCTAGTGTTCAGTGTGCTTGGATAAGTGCATTTGGTAATATGCTAGATGTCACATCATCTTTCTGTTTGGTTTTGGTTTTTTGTTGTTTTTTTTTTTAACAAAACAGAACAACATTGTGCATAGTGCACCAATCCACTGAATGTATGTACAGTATATACATATTTGTATGTCCAAATGTCCACAACAAACCCTACTTGGAACAAGGGGTATTCCAGGCCATAAATAGTGACTGCCTGACTCCTACACACTACAGTAGAAAGCTCTTTCTAATCACTTACTGAATGGTAATCAGATCTTTTTTTTTTTTTTACAATGTCTGAGAAAGGGCAAAGGAATTTAAGTGAAATTCTGTTTAAGACAACATGGTCTGAGAAGGTTTGCAGTGGTTTTCCAGCAATAAGAATGACTGCCATTTATTGGGTAAAACAATGTGTCTTCGTTGTTTTATCCACTTTATCTGGGCACCACTGTAACCCCATGTATATACACCAGCACATGGCATCTCAAAAAGGCTACAGTCTGCTGTGCTGTTGCTGTTTATATACTTAGAGAACAGTCTTTTTCTACATGTCTTGAAAAGGTGATTTACTGCACCGCAGCAGTATTTCGCATCCACGCATTCGATTAATAAAATGTATTTGCCAAGAACCAGAAGGTTAAAGACACCAATTCAGACAAATGCAGGTGTCTGGGGAAACAGGCTGATAGACCAGGAAAGCAAGTAAACCCAGCTCTACAGAGTAATAAACACTGTCAGAAACTTAACTTCTCAAAAGGTTGGAATTACACTAAACTCTTGGTCTCAGCAGAAGCATTTACATGGATTGCTAAAGACACTGGTACACTCGCTTTGTTGAATTAGCTGTGCTGTTTGGTCTGTACCACTTCTAGGTATTTGTTACCCTCTAGATCGTTCTATCCGGATGGAGTGTGCCCTGCCGTCGTGAAACTCGCCAGCTTCTGGTCTGATGGTGATTCTGTGGGGATCCCGTATCCCAGTGGAGATATGCACTTCTAGTCGACCTCTGTTCAGGAACACTGCATAGTAGGCCTGCAATGTAAACGTCGGTATAAGAAGGTAAGTTACATTTGGAAAGAAATTATTTCACTTAGTTTTACATTAGTGTGTATGTTTTATCTCTTACACTGGTTTTTAATTTGCTCGCCATAGACGAGATACTGTAGTTTCAGTTCTGCTGCTGCTGCTACATTCAGACTTTCTGTGTTTGGATGGCTGGCAAATCATGCCAGTAGTTACTCTAGCAACCAATATAATTTTGTAGTGGCTTTCAGGATCTAACCTCCAGTTACTATAGCAATGAGTGTCATGCTCATTTCTGTGACCTGAAGAGCTGGGAAATGATAAAAGAGCCCCTACCCTGAAGTTAATGTCGGGCAGGTGAGCAATTATAATGTCCTCTACCTGGAGTGTGCTCCTCCAGGTCACTGAGAGCTCTCTTCCAAAATGGGCAGGAAGGAGGATAATGAAATATTATTTCCCAGAAGTTCTGAACAAAGAAAGCATCAAAATATTCTGTTCATCTGTGTAGTATGACTTGTCTGTGAGGTTTTTAACTAGTCAAGATTTGAATAATTTCTGACAGCAATTACTTGACCTCTGTAGGTACTTCCTTTGAACAGACTGACTCTATCCTCTTCTTCAGAAAGGTTTTACACTGTGGATTTGTATTTATGGGAGAGAAGGAGAGGTTAGGGCACTCGCAAGTCTTATATCCCACAGAAGTGATCGTAAACAAGGGGCTTATCTTGCACTGCCTCTTTTTCCTTTTCTTTTTTTTTTTTTTTTGTCTCAGGGGAAACAGAATGATCCTTACTTATGTCTGTATGAACAGGAATGAGAGATAATGGCAGTGCGAAAGTAGTCCTCAGAATGAGTGAAGAACATTATTCTCTCATATTTAGGTTTGATTAAAAAAAAGAATCCTACATGAAAGAATCTGTATGATAGAAAAACAAATCTATTGTTGTTTAGCAACAAGCAATGGATTCTTTACTGTAAATCTTTAAGAGAAACAGTTACTCCAATGCAAAAAAACCCCAATTCCGAGCCTCTATCAGGTTCTCCATCAGATAAACGATAACATTAGAAATACTTTATTGCCAAGCACTGAATCTTAAGTGTAAACATCTGACCGTGTCTTGAAACATATAAAATTCAGTAAAATTGTGAGTTTTCTTATCTTTTTCTAGGTTCCTCATACCTGTCCTGTTTGTCTGCGTTTCCTCAGGGAGGCAGCTTTCCTTCCAGTGTACCTGCGCTTTCTCCTAGGAGGGACAACTGTGCCACTTGTGCCAAACAACATTATCCCAGACTCATTCTTGGTGCTGAAGGAGAGGTTGATTTCTGTGCCCACGTCAAAGGACACAGGCTGCAGTTCCACAAAACCTGGCTTGGGGAAGCTAACTGTATAAATGTTCTGTAAGAAGATGAGGACAGGAAAGTGCATTGGTAGAATTAAAAGCAAGAGTATGAATATGCAGAAAGGTTTCTTAACTAAAATAATAAACTATGTAAATATAACCAGTGTGAAGACATGGAAAGTAATAATAGCCACTAAGCAATTTACTTCTCAAAGTGTTGTGCAAACAACTAATTTACCTGTTTACATCTGGCATCATTAGAGTATTTCTGGAATCCCATCTTACCGAAGGCAAAGTTCCAGTTTTATTTTGGTATATCCTCTTGGATTAAAAATAACTGCTCACACGTGGTTTTTTTATATGAATGTTTTCCATTGAGTTAATACAGTGGGATTTTGCTTTTAAATCAATACAATAGATAATATAAGCCATTATAAACATAAACTAGATTCTATTATTTGTTAAACATGCCGAGAAAATACTTTTAATTAACCAGTCATTACTGCTTCATCATTATTGATTCACTAAGCAGCACTGCTTTTTTGATGACTCAGGCTCATAAATGAAGCACTCATTGCACGTGGCCCAATTTTTTGGACATTGGTAGCTATTAACACAACTTAAAGAGTAGAATATGTCATCAAATAATAAATCAGTGCATACTCCTGAAGATTTTCTGTAATTGCTGCCAATTCATGTATTCTTCCAGATGTGGAAGACCAGTCTATAGGAACAGTGACTTTTAATAAAGAAACTCACCATTTTTTCACTGCAGTAGAACTGTTTTCAGGTCTAGAGATAACAGATTATGCCAGATAAAATTATTGCTGATGATGTTCACCCTTCTCTAAAATCTGGGGGCTTTTTTTATATAATTCAGTGTATATCCAGTCTTTATCTTTTGCTTATACTTCTCTTTTTTTTTTTTTTTTAAATTATCCTACAGACCCTGTTTTGTACAATTAAAATATTTTATTTAATTCTCAACACAATGGTTAAACCAATCAGTTCAAATGTTACAAAATAACTTGAAAAACAAAGTACTTGCTAAGAATCATAGCAACAGAAGAAAATTAACTCAACCATCCATTCCTATTCAGGAAAGAATCTACAATAAATGAAAACAAATACGAATTTCTATAGAAACTTTTTTCTGAAACCAAATTTCTAAGATGTAAAAGCATTTGAGAAATCTGGTTGTTTACAGTTTAGTTTTATCACAAGCTTTTAAACTTAACTTAAAAATAGCCATCCCAGGACAGATCCATCTAGTCTAATACCCTGTCTGAGAGTCCTGTTGTGTGCTTTTTGCTCTGATGAAGGCCAGAGGTACAAGTGATAAACACAGCAAAAGAGGGTCTTCATCTTTATTTTGGCCCGGCCAAGTACCAGTCACTGCTCAAAGGAAATTTTTAATGTTTTGTAGAAAAATGTTGAAAAAGCATCAGATTAACAACAACTCATTTGGATTTACTGTAGTGGCATCTGATATAAAACTGTAGATCATAATCTGCTTCCAAAACTACATTTCCAGGGAAGAAATATGAACTATTTATTGGGAGACAAATGTCACTGGAAGTATTTTTTTATAGACAAAGACTCTTCCATGGAAAAATTATTATACTCTCCCCCAAACTTAGGGTCAGATTCCTTGAATTTTATATGCATTGAAAGCATGCTAATTGGAAGCAGCAACAATTGAAAATAAATAGACTTGAGCTGTATTTAAAGTTGAAATAACAACACCAATTTTGCACATTCTTAGTGATAAGTAAGAAATGTGCCTTCCAGATTAGTGGTAGCTCATAACAGTAAGTGATCTACAGGACCTGTCCTAAAGGTGACTTTGTTTCAGTTATACCCAAATATACTGTGATTTACAAACTACCTCAGATTTTCTGTAGTGAATTATTTTATAATAACAAAAAAAAAATTTAAATCCTTGGGGCTTACGTGCATCAACAGTTTTAAAGGTTTTTGCAATAGTGTCAGTGCCTAATTCTATCCTCATTAATGTCAGTAATTCCCATGTTAGGCAGCTGAAACAAAGCTAGATGGTTGCTAAGCATTTCAGAAAATCCTACCCTTTAGGGATAGGGATATCACAACTGGCCAGGGATACTGTTCAAGAAGTTGGGATCTAGAAAACTGGGCTACTTGCTGATCAGACTTACTCGTGTTTAATGTAACTGTTTTGATTTTCAGCTTAGATCCCTGTGTGCTTCTGAATATGCCTTTTACAATTAATGTTATATCATAAAATCAGAAACTAGAAAACATTTATACCCAGTAAGACCAAAATACAAGGAATTCAGACTAACCTCTAATGTGCATCCTTTGGTTAGACCAACAAAATCAGGACTACTCAATATATTATATGGTGTCCTTGAAATTTCAATCTCTTTGAGACAACCTGTATATTTCTGTAAGTTCACTTCAGGCCTGAAAAAAATTTCAGAAGTATAATGTGTTCGTAAAAATAGATTTTAGGGAGAACACAGCCAGACACACACACACACACACACACATGCACTTTCAGATGCACAGATGCTTGATTTTTATTTTTTTTTAATACACACATACACTCACTCACATGAATTTATCCTGCCTTGTACCACCTGTCAGTACATATTGCACTCTGCTTTGCATCACTCAAAGGTGTAACAGACGATTCCTCTCATCTCCTCTCCAGCTGACAACAGTTCTCTTTTCCATTCCCCCCCCCCCCTTTTTTTTAATTATTTTTTTTTTTGTGTGTGTGAAGTAGTGCTGTCACCTTTGGTGTTTAAATGCACTGAGTTATGAAATAAGTAAGTAATTTTTCGCTAGGCAAAGCAAAAGGTGCAAACTAGGAAAGCATAACAACGAGAGACCTTAACTGGAAGACAGGTGTTTCATTCGTCTTTTTGCATGCTATATCCTAATGAAATAGGAACTTCAGCAGCATACAAACATTTTGGATGAAGTCTTTGCCAAAGACAAAAAAAAAAAATTAATTTGATTTTAAAAAAATGTTTTAGGAATTCATTACATTCAGGTGGATTGGCATTTGTTTTCTATGTATTTTATATTACTAGTATTTTTCCTATGAAAACTGCTGCATATTTTCTTATGACACAGCAATACATTTGACTTCTTCAGGCAGTTAAAGAAAACAAAACAACTGGGTTTGTTACAGAACCTAACTATCCATTCAAGACAGGAATATACTGCAATAGAATTGCAGAGTTCTGTGATTTGGCTCATCAGCTAGTTGACAGAAGAAATGAGAAACCCCCTGAAAGTAACACCAGAGTTGGCATGTTTTAATGCAAAAGTATGATTTCCCAGGCCTGTGAACACCAGAGTGAGACCATAACTGCTGGCAACATCTGAGCCAGGCTTGCAAGAAAAAAAGCCTTATAAAGTCACTTAAAAAAAAAAAATAAAGTTGCCATTCATACCATGGAGATATTAATTACAAAATAAAACCATTTTGCATGGATATTATTCAGCTGCATGTTGTGGTACTGACAGCCATTCTTTGCATTACAGCCATCCTAGCAAGCATGGTGTATAAGTTAAAGTAAGCATCTAGTTTACTAAAATAATCCATATTCTGCTTTACTTACAATTACGTACTTGGGGTCACCTTTCATTTTAATTTTTTTTATTTCCTAGCTCTTCTCCAGTTCCTTTACAGACTCATCTTCCCAGCAGCTGAACAGTTTTCTTACACCCTTGTCAGTAGTGCCCACACTCTCCTTTCTTTGCCACTTAGTTCCTACCCTCTTTCTGCCCTGCCCTCACGCTATCCCATTACAAGCAGTTGCTGTAATCTTGTAATTCCCAACCTGTATGAATTCTAGGTCCTTGCAAACACTGAACACTTGCTTGATGCTTTCTTAAGACTTCATTTTTCCCTTGTTGCCTTTCAAATCATACAAAATAAGGTCCAAGTTCATTCACAACTGTCATTAATTCTTAGCCTCTTTTTTTGGCCAAACTAGGATCAGTTTCAAGGGAACACAAAGAAAGATTTCTGGAGCTTGGGAGGAAATAATCTTTCTCAGGATTGGAAAGTGCGGTTGCATGAAGCTGCATTTTTCCAATTGAAGCCAGGCATTAAGCTGCAAAACATTGCGAAATTGAATTTATATCTGAGCATATCAAAGCAAAAGTAACGGACACAAATAGCTGCAAACTGAAAACATAATCAGAAATAAGTGAACTCCCCTATGCCCGCCTCATCCTCCTGTTCTTAAACTCAAAGTGGCAAATTTCACAAAAATCTGCACTTCGCTTTCCTACCGTCCTCAGTAACTCAGTGCCTCTGAGGGCAGTGCTCCTTGCCTGACTTGGGACTGCATCGCTCTTGCAGCCTGGAGGTCAGAACCAAATTTGGCAATACAGCTTGCCACAGTTTTGCTTAGGACACACTCCAGTGTCATAAACAAACACAGCTAAAGTAAGTAGCTGTGCGAGGAAAACAAAAGTTGCTTGTGAAGGTGTGTGCACAGCATGTAACATGGCAGTGTTAAGCACTTGGGAGCAGCTTTTCTTGTTGCAGCAGGAACAAGTTGCTGAATTAACAGCCTTAGCATAACAGCTGGTATAAATACTGCCCACACACTGCTTCTGCGTTGCTGCCTGTGCTCTCAAGCTGCACTTACTAGACACATGCAAGTCATGCAAGTAATCTGATTATTTTTACCTTGCTTTCATACTAGGGTGAGAAAGAAAGAAAAAGAAAATTAAACTTATATTAATTGTAGTGAATGATACTTATTAGGTTTAAATATTTCACAGTGAAGCAGATATACATCATCTACAAATAACACGTAATAGATGGTGAGATACCATACACACCGTCAGACTATAATAACTCAGAGTTACTCTGCAAACAGTTACCTTAAAATGTAATATATCAGAAAGCTTTTGTAATTTGTTACTATATTTGGTTATGAGTAAAAGCAAACCATGTAAAAGAATTTGGCAGAACCGAGAAGTTCACGGGTACCTCTGTGTCTATTGTTTGCAGTATCTTAGCTTTTCCCTAATCCCCCTTTTGCTATTTTTGATTCTAATTTACTGTACCATTCATCTTGCCCCAACGACTGATGAATCATTACTGTGGGCAAAAGGGTTACCATAGGTTCCAGTATCTGTGGTACACTGATTTTCTAAGCAACCACAAAAGAAGTGGAAGATAATTACTCTAGACATTTTGTTATGCACAAAATGGTATGATTTTACAATTACATAATATAGTGTTACATTTCATGGGTAAAATAGATCTTTTTATTGCTGGGTGATTTGACATCTGAGGTCAGCTATTAACCTAATAAATTAACAAGTATGTATGTCCATTCTTTTAGTTGCCTGTGGACTAATCAGAACAGTTCCTTCTGCACTGACCAGTTCAAGGCTGTCATTATACCATGTAGCTAAAGTTGGCATAGACTGACGGGCTTGTTTCTGTGTTTCTCATCTGTTCATTGTAACACAGAATTCTCTTGTTCTTGTCATTGCAAAGCTGCTTATTATTCGCTGAAACCTTAAGTAAGGTTTTTGGTCTATTTAAAGTTACAGTCACTAAATTCAAGTAGCTGCAATCCCATTTCTTTAGTTTATTAAAGCTTCCTGAAGTTTATAATTAATTTTATAAATTATTAATACATTTACAACTAATTTAATATTAGATATTACGCAATATTTTAAAAACAAATATTAGGAATACAGCATCAGAAAGATCGACTGCACCATTACTGCTATTTCCATTGTATTTGTGTAATGTGAGCTGTGTGAAATACATTGAAGTACACAACATATGCAAAGCAAGCATTGGTCTGCTGTGGCAATATAGGGTAAATTGGGAACTCAACATTCACTTACTGCAAGTGGACTTTACAAATAAATACAGAGAATAAGATTACACTGCTTGTACATCCCCTTACCAAGAGTAAAGCATTTGGTTTGAGCCACGTTACCTTAGATTTCTCAGGGTTGGCAACCCCCCAAAATAGATTTTCTCATGCCCTTTTAAGTTAAGCCCAAAGTGACTGCCTGTAGAAGTTGTTGCTATGGTCTCTTCTTCATTGGTGTCTATGTCGACAATTGATATGTTGGCTGGAAGACATTTGAGATAAGTTTCAAAATATCAGACAAGAACAATGATGTCTTAAGAAACCAACAGAGAGATATTTGGAGGGTAAGTAAAGGAGGAGAGAGGCAAGGAGGGTTGTATTTTGCAGTTAAGACACTGGATTTCCAAATTGTCAATTATGGGCAGCGGAAGAGATCTGCACTTCCCTCTGTTTCCATAACAACCTGAAAAGCTATTCTGTATGCTTTATTTTTATGTATTCTCTAAACCTGTTTCAATTTGGTATATTCTTTATGTCAGTGTAATTTGCAGCTAACATGTCAGGACAAAGTCAAGACAGAAAAGATTATTTTACATTTAATTTGTGATTTCAGTCCAAAGGTTGTCACTTGAGCGGGATTTTTTAGTGCAAAAGTTTGTTAAGGATTGTCATTATGTGCCTTAGAGATTGGTGATGATTCACTCTAAAACATTTTCCGACCCAAAGCACTCAGGTGCTGTCATGTCTCATCTCAGCCTGGAGTCAGTGATGAACTACATGAAACAATCCTATCTAAATCCTTCTTCCATGTGTATTTTTAATGTATGCATTAATACAGAATACAAAGTTAAATGAGAGAGACAAGGCACAGTGAAAAATGCTGAGCTGCCCCCAACGAAGAAAGGGATATTGTACCATAGGGATGCAAGGAAAGGGGTCCTTTCTGCCTTCTCTCTTTTTTTTCCTTTACTTTTTTCTTTTCTTTTTCTTTCTTTTTTTTTTCTTTTTTTAATTCAGACAGTTAAATGCAAGAGATTTCTGATAAACTACACCACCCCACCCCACCAACCTAAAGAATGAAATGAACCTTTCTTTTAACTAAAAAAATGACTAGCATGATTTCTGGTTTAAAGATGGAATAGAGTGAGTTTGGAGATGAAAGACCTGTCAGTGAAACCAGATTTCAAAGGGAGGACTGGCTAAAAGAGGTAATGTATAATCCTTGGAGAGGAAGGAGGAGTGGGATGATGGGAAGAAGAGTCTTCCCTGATAGAAGCTCTCCCCACAGGTCAGTCTCTTGTAGCAGCAACTGACTAATAAATGCCTTAAAAGAGGGAAGGGATGTGCAAAATCTGAACCCAAACTACCTTTTTCAAGAGTGACAGAGAACTGAATGAAGGATAGACTTTTCTATTGTACTTTACTGTAAGTAGATTAATTTGCCTTTCACTTCTATGCCGGTATCTTTTTTATAAACATAGGATATGTATGAATGGCGTTTATAAATTACGGTTATGTGGCACTGTATTGACACCACAGAACTCACCTTGCTTTTGAATTCTTGACAGGGTGAAAGATTTCCATTTGCCATCATTATGGTTTTGGTTGCTGGTAACAGAAGCTGTACCTGAACCCAAATCGTAGCTGACTTTTATACGTCCACCACTGAGTTCTACACTCATGAAATCCTTCTATTAATGAAAAAGATTAGATACACAGTTATGATTCTTACTCAGTTTGATAAGAGGCATATGACATTAAATAAACACTTTATTTTCTTGGGTGACAATAAACAACTATTTTCAAGCATTTTTTTTTAAAAAATCTACTTAGGCATTTACTGTCCAGGACTGTAATTTACAGAAATCTGATGCCAAGGAGTTCTTTTTTCCCCTTTACTTCTCCTTTGGATTGCTAATTTAGTTGAAATTCTGCTAACAACAACTTCACTGGAGTTTTGATGGGATGTGTGTACTTCTATTTTCTTAGATTGAAGACAGAAATGCACATTACAATTACCTGCATCTAATACTCACCTTTGAGTACATCTGCACTACAGCTAGTGCATTTATTACAAACCTCAGCTAGATTTAAACTTGCAAGGCAGAAAACAAGAATAGTAAAAATGGTAAAATGGCCTTGTTTTACCAGGGTTTACAGAGAGTAATCTTTACTGATGGAACAACAGAGCTATGAACTGTTGTTCTCATCAACCACTGACGTCATGACAGTGACTGGAGATGGCTGACTGGAGCAATGGTATATGTTGCAGTATCTACAGAAAAAGGACAGACAGGATACAAAGACCAAAACAAATAGACAGGAAACTGGATAGCATGAAAGGCGTTAAGTAAGTAATGGTGGAACTCTGACCCAGAACATGAATGCACCAGAGAAATTTCAAGTCAAAATTATGATTTTGCTCATGGTTACTTCCACCTGTGCTCAGATCTAGGAAGAATGAAAATAATTTACCATGTGCTGAATACTTATGCGAAACTGTGATAATAATATCATGTACGTGAACAAAAATTTATGTTAAGAAGAAAAAAGTGAAATTTAACAAACTCAGTGTTCTGGATTTTTATGCATGTGTGTCCATGCATCACTAGAAAGAGCATTCTCAAAAGTTTTTATACAGTGGGACAATATCTTATGAGATAAACAGTTATCAGGGACCAGTTGCCTTCCAGCTCCCAGTGTTTTTCAGAAATTCAAGTAAATAATTTGTTCTAGAAAATGACATAAATTAATAATAATTATACCAAATAATTATACAAAATCATCTAAAATAATTACATTAATTATACTTTCAATAGTCAATTATAAAAGTTAATTAGAAAAACTATGTAAGTACTTCATTATCAAAAATAAAATGTTATATTTCACTATAGTCAGTCAGGAGGAGCATCCTCCTCCTTGATAATTTCAGCAATTCTCATAATTTTTCCCAAAATATAGGAATCCGAAATAAGACTGATTTGCACAAATACAGTTTTTGTAAAATACTGAGTGCTTAGTAAGTCTTCAAGACATCAGTGAGAACTGCTGTACTTAATTTCTGGCCCATATCAAATGCCTAAGGAAAGGGCTCTGTTCCCAGTCAGGTATGCAAATCAATACGGATCAGAGATGCTGAAGCTGAGTTATTCTTGATTCATGTGAGGATCTGGCCAAATATCTTTATAAATAACTTCTCCTTGTTATTGACACACATTTGATAGTGTATGTGAATAAAACCGTGAACAGCTTTGTAACTAATGTTTCTATTCTTAATTTCAGCTGTAAAAGGGGCCATTTGTAGACATTATGAAAATGTCATCACCATTGCATCCTGTTTGTTGTACCATTCAGTTCTCTTTTAATATCTCCTGCGTTAACCACAAACTTTTTATTTCTATCAGGAGGATTTCTATCTAAGACTTGTCTCTTCCCGTATTTGCTCTGCCCTCACACCATGGTATTTTAACCTATGAACATACAACCACAACTGACAATGTTTGCATGGGTAAACATCTTGGAGGAATGAAAATTAATAATTTCAGAAAAGATGGAATTCCTGTCAGTCTAACATAATGCTCCCTAGTCAGTAAACACTAGGTGGTCAACTTCTACACTATAACATTTGTCTTCAATTGGAAAGCAGAGAAGCATCATACCAGGCAACATCATACCAGGACAATGTTACATTAAATTACTATTTGTCTTCATAATACATTTAATTCAGCCACTGCAAAGAGGGCATGAAACCTGTAAGGAGTGTGGAAGTTAACTGGTTGTTCTTACCAAATCATCAGTAGCAAGATACATCAGCAGGGCATTTGATGAGAAGGTCCTGAATTTGAACATGACTGTGGAAATGTTGGGGTTCCAGCGGATTGGGCGGCTCACCATGGCATAGCTTTCACCATCAAACTGGACTGTCCCTTCACCATCTGCCACCTGTGGGCTAAAAAGGGGCCAGGAACATGTGTAATATTGGCCAGGAACATGTTTCCCATTTATTTTGGCACAACATATAAGGATTTTGAATGCAGTTCTCTCACCTTCCATATCTACATTTAATAGTGAAGTTTTTTGATAAGATTTTGCAGGAGAACAGGACTCTGATACTGGAACAATTGGTTGATGTAAAAGGAAATTTTGACACAGTTTTCTACAAATCTCAAATCCAGTATTCTTTTCTTTTTTTTTTTTTTTTTCCTTTTAATCTCCCCCTCACATACCCCCCACTCCAAGCAAGCAGATCTACACTATCACTAAGAAATGAGAAAATCAGATTTAGGAAGAGATGGACATAAAGGTCTAGGCACTTCCGTTAGGACTTGATTGCAACTGAAATGTATACGTCTATCCACCATCACACTCCTTAAATTTCCACCTAAGTGTTAAGGCCCTACAGTTGTAGTCATGGCAATCCTTGGGTATTTCCAAAATTGTTTCAATTCACAACTGGAATTTCCATCACTTTCAAAGGGCTAAGCCTTAGCAGGCTGTCAAACTAGGCTGCTAGTTCAAAAAGTTGCCCACTCTTAATTTCCATGACTGGGTCTATAATTATTTTACCTAATGCAGCGGGAGCTCTGTATCATACACTGATACTGCCGAATTTACTAAAAACCAGGAGCATCCAAGAGAACAGTGCTGCTTTCAGGTAGTGGGTCACTGTGAAAGCTATAAACAAGGATCTGAGAGACCCATAGCCTGTCTTCTTTATGTAAATATTTCCAGGACTATGCTGTAGTATCAGGTACTGCTTCTACATAAGGGCCCTCAGATTTTGAAGCTTTTGAAACAGTCAGTGCTTCACTTACCTGACGGCACATCCTTTGCAGTCACCTTCAATATCCCTGAAATTCCACAGTCCTATGGGCTTGCTGTCTAGAAAGGTTTCACCCATGCAGCCAGTGAAGGTGGTGACTCTTACAGCATCTGACTTCTGTAACAGAAAACACAGACCTCCTAGCATTCAATTTGAAGTGATCTACTGTGTCTGAAAGTATAACTGGTATGAAAATCACAGATACTAAATGATGCTTATTATTTTATATATCAAGAGTAATGTTTAATCTGAAAAGCCCTTCTACATGGGAACTGTGAGCAAAAACGTGAGCTAAGCTTTCTCTCAATCAAAATGGAAAACCCATTTATATTTGGACTCTGGAAAAGGCCTAGGCAGAATGATTTCTGAAGAACAAGGAGGTGCCCTGGCTTCCATGTCACTATCAGCTTTCATGGCAATACAGAGAGCTGTCCACTCCCATTTGTTCAAGTGTATCTGGGTTTCAGTTTAAGACTTCATAGAAAGGACTATGAGGATTCTTGCCCACAATACAATAAGCAAAGTGTTTCTATTGCACTTAATGCTTAAAAGCCTGGAAATTGAGCAGATAATCCAGGCTAAAAGACTAACTTTGAACTTAACTGGCTACACCCGGAAAGTTCATGCTGAACTTTGGATGCAGAAAAAAGTGCAGATGGCAAAGCAATTAAAATTCATACCCCACCAAAACTCATTAAGCTAGGGTCACGCACATTGGGTAGTGCTCATTAGATCATAACATGGTACCATCATCAAGGTAGTGATATTTGACAGTACACAGAGTACTCATCTCAAAATCATCCTTCTAAAAATACCTAGTTTCATTTAAATTTCACTTCATCAATATGAGCTGATTAAAAATCTATACACTTAGCTATTTGAGATAGACAAACACCTGCTGTTTTCCATACAGCAATTACAAATATTAAGATCTTGCAAGAGACCATGGAGAAGTGCAACTTGAAAATATTCAAGGAAAAGTATGATTCAAAAGACTTAATGCACCAGTGATATTTCCCAGGGTAATTGGGAAGGTTTTAATTAGCAACAAGTATGAACTTAATGTCACTTCTGAGATATTCATGACATCTAAGTACCATAGTCTTCTACTCAAGTCAGATGAAAGATGTTTTTAAAAACTGAATATCAGCTTTATTTTGAATACACGGCAAAGATGCATGCAAAAAGGGATGTGGACAAAATCTGAGGACAAATCTAAACCACTCCAAACCCCAATAATATGAAAAAGCAGAATTCTGAGACAAAGATTAAAAAAATATCAGTGACCTTGATAAATATCCAGAGAGCTCCATGTTTTTAGAAAAGTCTCAGATAAGGTCTTAATTATCTGAGCCTGACAATTGTACCACATGATGTACAAAAGTTCCCCAACATGTAAAGCTGTCATTTATCTTTTAATTTGCAGACTGCATATGGACAACGCAAATCCAATAGTGTTTAAAATTTTGAATTACAAATATACCAGTCACGTCAAACGTACAATACACTGACTTCCTATGGCTGCCCTTTATTAAACTGGAGAAAAAAAAAATTCAGGAAGCTTTTCCTGAAAAATTGGAGAATTCTCCAGAAAATACCTAGACAAGTCCTGCTGAGGCTGAAAACAGCTGTTCTGGCATTAGACTTCCACAGCATCCACAGTTCCTGTTCCAGTTCAGCACTGCACCTCATACTCAGTCCTATAACTGTCTTACATTCTGAATTGTGCTCACTACCCACCTCTGCCTCACTATATCTATCTAAAGCAAAAAAGAAAAACATTCAGGAAAGGATTCAGGTCTAAACATTACTGAGTTCCAGATCCTTTTGTCTACTCTGAAATATCAAGAGCCCTGGAACCATTTCCCTCTAGAGATCCTAGAGATTCTAAATATCTAACTTTTTCCTTAATATACGCCTCATGAAGCTTCATTGTAAAATAATGCTTCTTGAATAAATATTATTCAAAATTTTTCCTCTGACAGTGCAATTTAAGTGAGATGACTTTTGTTAGGGGTGGTACCATCTTTTATTGGAGCAGTAGGTACCAGCTTTGGGGCCTGGTTACTCAGAGCACATATGATCTCTCTTCGCACCTTTGTCTCACTTTTTCTTCATTAAACTGCAATACTAAGAGCTCTTAACAGTAGAATAGTTATAACACTTAAACCTAGAGATGACGTCAAGTAAAACATGCATTTTATTAGTCTAATATGACAGCTTTGCTGCAGAAATTAGGACTAGGCACAAGACTACTTTATGCTGTGGCACAGAACAGTTCTTGCTGAATTTCTTTATCATCTTTGATTCTCTGGATTCTTAATGTAAACACAATAGCTTTTTTTGAAAGAGGAATTCAGATGAAAGCTCTGGTCTGGGAGGTTTGATGTTCTACAGCTGTGTACCTATAAATGGTATTACTGTTTCAGTACTTGCCCCAGCTGTCTTCTGATAATTCAAAAGTCAAATATAAAATAAAATTAAAATAAGGTTTGGGTTTAGGCTGGCATTTGAGTTTGAAGGCTCATGACTTTTTTGAGGCATCACCCAAAGACAACAAGCTAAAACCCAGCAGACCACACATTTTCTAGGGTCTCAAATGAGTCAACAAAATTTAAATATTGTATAAATCAGCTTCTCAGCTGCCTTTCTAAACGTAGAAAAAAAAGATTACTTGTTTAATCATAAATTCTGGAACTTATGATTGTTACCTGAGCCAGTCTGTCTTCCCAAGCCTGTAGTCAGACTCTGACAGTTAAGCATTTTTAGTGAGGTGGGCAGACGCACACATGCCCTATGGCCTCTATGGACTCATTTTATTTGGGCCTTTGGTTATTGCAGCTACACAGCACTGCAAGCATTGAATAGTCCTGATTCAGCTGGGTGGAGTGTTTATTCCACTATGTGAGTTATTACAGCAAGTAAATAACAGAACCTAATGCCAATGCAATTAAATTTGATACTGGTGAAAACAACAATAGAAATTAAAATTTATCTATTTAGCAAAAACCCAAGAATGAGAAAAGCTGAAAAGCTGAGAAGTAAATTCGGTGGAGATAAAACACCTCTCCCTGCTTTATTTCCATTCCCTTTGAAAAAGAGGATCAAAGGGACAGAGTGTAGAAAGCCAATGAGGCCATTCTGGTTCTTGTAAGTGCCACTAATCTCTGTGGTACAGATCCACTTTTAGCAACTGATGATTCATTTATTTTAGAAATATGTTTTGAAGTTCTTTGTTCAGGGTGAACAGAAGAAAGCAAATACCTTTAGTTGCCTCTAGATAGAAAGCAGGAAGGTAGAGAGTAAACCAGAACCTCTGTTTAAGGCTTTAAGAACGTAGAAAAGTTGACAGAAAGGCTGTTTTTTTTCTAATCTGTAATCCTCCAAGAAATTCTTCAATTCACTTCTTTGCCTATTTCTCATATGATGTCAAATTACATAAAAGAAAATGCATGGCAGTTATTTACACCCTTGAAGTTCAACAAGAAATCTCAAGATTCATTGCATCTGCATCTTCAGCATCTGAAAATGTTAGTGTTTTTTTGTGGATTTATTTCAGATAAAACAAAGAGTAGATCTGAGTTCTACTAATATGGACTGACTTGCAATTTCCTAGCCCAAAATCTCATAAAATAATTTCCTGTTCCTGTGAATGCTTTTCAAAGCCAGGTATCTCACTTAAGTTAGCTGGTAGTTGTGCAAGTCTGCTCAGGATTGCTTTTCTGCGTGTGAGAAGCCGTGATCAAGTTCTAAAATGAAGTTACCTGACAGTGCTCCAAAACAAATGGATATCTTTGAAGCTAAAGCTGGTCTTCAAGACACTGATTTCAAGCAAATGGAATCTACATTCTCTATTCTTCTTGTATCCCCTGATTTTGTCTTTGATTCTCTCAAAATGTGCTTCCATGCTATTCTCTGTAAGAAAGGAATATGTCTATCCACATATTCCCAAGCCAGAAAGCTGAACTTTCTAAAAACTAGAAAGTTGGATCATAAAATGAAATTAGGAATTAGTTGTTTGGTCTAAATGCTGAATCAATACAGTCAGCCACCAGGCTTGATTAGAAGTTAACATGGACAGAGAAACTTAAGGTCTGTGCACCTACCGATGTAGACAAATCCCAATAGTGTTTGAAGAGTGCACGTGTACTATTTGCTGCCAAAGTCTTACTACAACGATGCCAATGTACTAAAGTTTAATGTTTCTACTGCAAGCAACAACAAAAATTGTTCATGTAAACAGCCAGTTAATACACTAGCACCAGACAAGACATTACCTTTATTTTTTCAGTTAAACCACCAACAAACAGCATGGCATTAGCATCCACATCCAGAATGGTATATCCAGGTGGAGAAACAGCACTGAAAGTGGCTGGCACAATGCTGGCTTTAGGACCATCCAGAGCTCTCACTGATATTGTGCCATTTTTCCCAGTCCTAGAGATTTTAACCAAATAATTTAAGCATACAGTCAGTAGTTAAACCAAACACAGGAAACATTAATTTTAGATGGCATCTTCTAATAGAGGAATCTATTACTGATTTGATTAAAGATAGGATCTCAGAACTAGGTTTCTTGTCACCTCAGTGTCCTTTTTGAACAAAATTCACTACAAAGATGAAGTGGAACTTTCACTGATGAAAACAAAGAAGTGTATTTTTAAAATTTTTGTGATGAAATTAGTGTTAAGTAATTGTTTCTTGATGTAACAAATGATGTGGGCAAGGTTCCACGTTACATTTCTGAATTTCATAATGTTTGTTAAATTATACTTGAACTGAAATGAATGATCATGTGATAATTCTTCAATTTCCTTTACTGTGATGCACAGGGCTTGCATTTTCTGCAGTGGAGTTCTCTGGCTGCTTATCAAACAGGCCCAAACCCTGTTGTGTTTAGGGATGTTACCTCTTTGTCCACTGTAAATCATACCAAGTATTGATGGTTACAACAACAACAGAATTTGCCATTTGTTAATGGCAGCAGTTTGTTTTCTACTCCTAGTTTATATTAATATAGTAATTGGCATGGAAAGAGTTTGCAGACATAGTTTTACAATAGAAGGAACAGAATGTGCAGAGAGATGATTCCTTCTAACCTTGCAAGTATATGGAAAGGTATTTTAGAGGAAACTCAAATAATTTTGAATGTTTTGCAATTCTTCTCTTAATATTACTTTAGCTTACAGCAGTATGGATAGCAGCTTTCTATAGAAAGCTTATTAAGTATCTTGTATGTTCCATAATGTGGTAGAGGACTGACTGGGAGATGAGATAGGCAGAGGGAGATCACATATTGTGGATTTATGGATGACTTTAGAAATTGCTGCTTTATCTAATTTTTTTAATATGATGCTGGATTTCCCATGACCATTGCCATGTTAATTTGGAAATACTTATCATGCCTGATCTGGCAACCATAACCAGCAATGAAACTCTCAGCATGGATACCAATATTAAATGGAACTTTCTTATTTATATGCTTGATACTTAATGCAGAAGTACACCATTTAAAATAAACCTTACCTTCTTTTTCCATAACAAAGAGTATATATCTATCAAGAGTGACTACCTGTTTTTTAGATTACATGCAGTATTCTGCTGACTACCCAATTAGACTTTTAAATTTACACAGTACTTTTGTAAGTCGTCAACATTAGATTTCAAAATACCATGCAGGAACCTCTGCTCATTGACCCCTCGAAAGCACAGAAAATATTCAGTGGAAAGTATGGCTTAGATTTGCCACAGTGGTTTAAGACTGAATTCTTGCTGAGTTGAGCCGAATGTGTTTACTGTGAACTTGTGATTCAAGCATCCTTTGTCCTCAAAGGAAGGGTGCTGCTTAAACTCTGTCATTAACAATTAAAACAATTGTAATAATTAAATCACACTTGATTAAAATCACAAGTAATCAGGACCTGCTCCTAACTGAGGCCTGCTGAAGTCAAGTGACATTGTTTCATTGGTCTAGCTAGTCTTAAAAATATTCTGTCACCCATTTGACTGTTTCACAAAATTGGCGTCGTTTGCATGTTGCAAACCTGCTTTAAATCATTTTGTCACATACTGTTATGCCAGATTTTCCTTTGCTAATTGATACTTTGATTGATTGCAGTTCTTGATGCCGATCAGATTTGCCCCTGTAAGCAGGTAATTAACTCTGTAAGTGACATTTGTTAAATTTTTGTAGCATCAAAGTATAGGGAATTCCTATAGGAATATACAAATTTTACTTCAATACCATAACAAAAAACATTTTCATGATACCCTCTTCACTTACAATAAAATTCAAAGTATTAGTACACTTTAAATAAAAAGGTTGTGAAAATTAAAAATGTCCCTGAAAAACAGACGCAGTAATAATCCCTTTAGTCTTAATACACTGGAAACGTTGGTACAAACATTAACTGAACTGAACATGTTTGGTCATTACTCAACAGTCAACTTTGTTATACTTAGATTTCATTCAGTATGCTGAGTGACCTCGAGAATTTCACAACCTCTGTGACACTACAGCTCTTCTTTTTAAGGCCCTTTGGGATCCTTGACTAAGAACTGCTATCAACCTTTAAACCTGCTGTATCATTATCATTGTGTGTCAATGCCTGTCACCACTGAAATCAATGGCAAGATTCAGCAAGACCAGAATTTCATCCTGTGTCCCCATTCTAAGCGGATGCCCTGCTCCAGCTGCTGAGGCAGCTCTGTCAGGTTGCTGTAAAAGTCTGTGGCTGGAACTGAGCAGAAGTCTGGAGAAAAAAGGTGAGGGAATGAAATGAGTTAAACTCTCCAACAGCTTATTAAGGCAGAGGAGAGTTATCAAATGGACTAAAATGTTCAAAGTTGAAGATTCTTCTGTAGGATATGTGATTTATGAAGTCTGCCTTGAGAATGCAAAATCAGTCCCAAGCTCTTCATCTTTATCCCACAAATCCAACTAATGTGTCTGCAATGTAATTCTCCTAAACACTGCTCTGTACTTGAGATGTGCGCAGCTGTAATTGTTCTAAAGTGCTGATACAAGAGTTTGTGCAAAACTAATGGCATGGACACCCTATATATCCAGAGCAACCAGCTTAATAGGCGATGTGCTTCTGTAGGTTGTGTGAATTTTTATACCATGTCCTGGCTCTATGTTCTGCTGAAGCAGCTTTCTTGTAAATGAAAGTCTGGCATTATTGTGTTGTGAAGCTGGTTTTGTATGCATAATACGAACTGGTAAAAATTTCAACAATTCGTATCCTACCCCAGTTTATATTTTCCTAGGAAAATAAAGTTTCACTAAGCCAGCTTCTAGAGATGGTGCCATAATTTTATTTTAATTCTCTGCTCTAAAAGGCTCATTTCTGTGATTTCACTAAGTTATTTAAACTGGATGCCATTTTCTCCTCTGAGAGCTATGAATGTAACTGGAATTAGAGTGCTTTGTTTTCTTTCTCCTTCTTTCTCTCATTTTCTGATTATGTTATCAGTTCTATATTTAATACTATGGGAAATTAACTGTAATGATGCAGGAGGAATTACTCAGCTTCAAATCAAATTGCAATATAGATGATGTTATCTAAATTACAAAGATCTCTTCAGAAGAAAAGGATATAAAGTTATGCAATCTGTACCCCGTAATTATTACATCGTCTCATGTGTTTGCTATTTGAATGGAAAATATAAGCTTCAACTAACTAATGTGAAATTTGAATATTAAGGTATTTATATTTTTAAAGGTCAAAAGTACTCAACAGCTGAGCTCAAATTACAAAGTATAGTTTAACTTTCCAGAATATTTCATCCTTGAGTTTTCATAAACTGTATCTTTTTAAGTATCTCTGGTTTTAAAAGACATTCTGCCAATGGAAATGGTGTTTTGAGTAAGAATCAAGGTACTGGTGTATGACACACAATTCATTTGCACTACAGTATTAAGACCAGAAACTCAGAAAAGCTACCCCTGTTTAAAATTCAAGGAGAAAATAATATCTTTGAGTGTCAAACCCTGTAAATGATTTTAAAAGGAACCTAGTTGAAGGTAAACAGAAGGGAATATAAGCAGTCATAGTCTGTTGATGCTAGAGGGGAACTATGTGAAGAAAAAAAGTTCTTGTCATGGAATAACACACATTTCAATAGTAATTGTAGTGTATATACTTTTGGAACAATTGGATGTAGGTTCAAAAGCTTTCATGAAAGCAGAATAGAATTTCTGATCTTTACAAAATCATCTTTTTTTAAAAAAAGTTGATGCTTCAAACATAGCAAACCTGTCCATGTAAACTTGAGGTATACCAACTTAAGGACAGTGGATTAGAAGCAGAACTTGTTAAATTTAGCCATTTTTATTTTAGGAACTACATCATGGAAGTGAAATATATACTTGCCTAGAGGCTTCAATCCGGTACCAAAACCCATCATCAATGGTCAGATCTGGATACTCTATGCGTCCAACACCAGATCCCACATCCCACAGAAAGCTCACCTTGCCTTTGCGCATCTCTATGGCCAAGAAGTCAGTCTACATGTGAAATATGAAGACAGAAACAATCTCATACTTTAGTTAAAGTAAGTTTTTCAGAACTCTTCACATTTCAGAAGATCTAATGAGACATCAGAAACCCATATATAAATAGTAAAGTATGAACATTAATTCTCATAGTACTGTAAAATGAGATTCTATTTTTCTTGCTTTTCATTGGCTCAAACAAGGAATGGCAAAGATGGCAAAAGCCAAAGATAGCAAAAAAAAGCCAAAGATGGCAAAATGCTTCTGGCAGTGATATGCAGTAAATGGCTGCTAGATTTACAGAAATGTAAATATTGGGCCATTAGGAGAAGGATTTAACTCAGAGTAACATTGTAAAATATCCATTAGGTGGCAGAAAGATGTCAGGATACTAGGCTAATACACAATGCCATATAGTCTTTTCATTTCATATTACATAAATAAAATACATAGTTCAAAATGCCAGAAATACTTTTCCAATTTACTGCATTATTATTGCTTATTCTAGAAGTTGGTCTGCTATAGGGCTCATGGGAAACTGAATCATTCATCATTATTATGCTTGAAAGTTTAGTCTTGACTTAAAATTACAATAAATAGCAGCTTTGACATATGCAAGATGATTAGCTACTTCATTCCCAAGGGAAAACTCACAACCAGCCCCAGAATTATCCTGGTTGCACTGTGAATTTTAGAGCTTTAATGTAGTCCACTTACAAGTCTCCCATTTCCTATCTAGTTAAAATAAAAAAATGTTAAAAAAATATTTGCTGGTCATATTTTAGAAGTTCCTATATTAATACCAAAGACCGTAAATGACTAGATTATCTTAGGCCCTCTACTACTGCTTTGAAGCCTCTGTGATAAATAAATAAATAAATTTTAAAAAGCCTTTCTCATCTTCTGTATTTGTCAGTAGTCTGATTGATCCAGCAACCCTGACATGAAAAGCAGGAGACAGACTTACAAACTTGGCACTTCCAAGGTAAAAAAGCAGATTGTCAGCAACTAAAGTCTTCACATTGACAATGACAGTGTTGTATGTTCCCTTCTTTATTTCTGGTCTGTATGTGCGAATACAATTGCCTCCAGAGGACACAGACACTTTGATCTTCAAAAACAAACAAGCAGAAAGAATTCAGTTTACTGGTTATTATTCAGAAATAACCTTACATGTTTCCAAGTAATTATAAGAATACCATGCGTTTTTTCCTTTATTCCTGTTTCTCTGTTAAATGCATCAGAGTGTTGCTTGGATATGCGCAGGAGGTAGGAATGGAATTTTCTTTCTGTGTTTGTTTGTAAAAAGGAAATAAAGGCTCTTTCTGGCATTCAGATTTGAAAGCACGAACTGTATGGATTAGAAAATAGCTAGGAAATATACTGGTCTAGTGCAAGCAGCACTGGAAGTCTAGCAGTAGAGGTAGCCTGTAAGCAGAATGTGCAGCCAGCAAAACAGGCAGCATTCCTAAAGGAATCTCAGCATGTTGCTATCGGGTAGACAGGATGACCTAGTTTTCCTTGTAATATCTTTGATTATGCCAATTCAAGACACCTTTTAACAATTACTTTTAAACCAACAGTTGTGTCTATCACTGCTTTTACATAACCCCTAATGGAGTTGATATTCAGTAACTAAGTTTCATTTTCATAGCAGAGTGACATAGGCATCTGGATATGTGTGCTAGTTTCCTCAGGCTCTGAGCACAGATAAAAACAGTGTACTGTTTCCTTTCATAATGCCAGCATAGGCATAATTACAGTATAATGGTATTTCAATTCCAGCTAGACATGTTTATGTATTACAGTAGATGTACATACTGGTATCGCCTTATGCTTAGGGCAAACTTTGTCAGAAAGGAGATCCATTATAAGACCAAACTCACAATTTCCCTCTCTCAGAAACACTGAGCATTTAAGTGCTTCAAAGCCTTCAGACAGAGAGAAGATGAACATAGCAAAACCATATAATCAGTGCAGTCTGTCACGTGCGAATTTCATTGAGTATATGGACTACACTTCTTTTCCAGGATCCTATTATTCTGTAGATTATTTTTTTCAACCATTTTTTCAGGAGTTTTCTTAAGTACCATCTTCAAGAATTTTTTTCGTTTGCTACATTAGGTCGCAAGCTGAATAACCTTAGTATTAACCAGCTGATCCTTGAGTTTACAGTATTACTGAGTCAGGGAGATGGACTCCAAACTTGTTAAAAGGACTAGAAATATATTCTTAACTCAAGTTTAAGTCCTCAGAACTGCTACTGGACGATGAAAGTCAAGAATACAGGAAAATCAAATACACTCAGCAATTTCAGCAAGTTTGAGATGGTGTCATTCTCAGGTAATATAAGGTCTATGAAATGAAATCAAGGCCTTAATACCAGTGCTGAGGCAAAAAAAATACACTGTCATTTTCACAAAAAATCAATGGTGATGTGATTCTTCTGCTGTACTATCATCCACAATACTTCTTAAATAATAACCTCTCCAGATACATTCCTATGGATGTTTTCCATTTATCAAAGACATGTTTAGATGAGGAAACAAGAGAGTGAAAATCATCAGAATATTCTCTTTTTATCTAGAGAAATTATACTCCATTATTTGCTCTCTTTACAGATGTTTAGAATTAGAACAGATTCACCTATGGAAAAGAAACAGAAAAGTGGAAAATGAAATCTCATCAATACTCAAAAGGTCATCTTACTGAGAAAGAGGGCTTACCGAATTGGCTTGCTTCCGAGCTTGGTTTATCAGCTCTTTTATCTGAGAAATGTTTTTCCCTAAGTTATCCTGAAGTTCTTTAATTGGCTTGATTTTATCTAGCAGGCGATCTGCTTCCTTTTCTAGCCTTTTAATACTGGAATCTGCATCAGCAACTTCATAAGAAAGAACAAGACAGTTTTAGACAGTAGTGTCAGAGAGTAATTATCCACTGTGATAAGCAAAATACAAGAAACTTCTGCATACACAATACTCAGGTGATTGTATATACTACTATGAGGTGTACACAGACCAGGAAGCTACCTGAACAGACTGAGATAATTTAAGAATATTTAGGATCAAGTTAAAGTAGCAACAGTAGCAAATGCAGGTATTAAAGCAGGATTTTGAAGTGGTAACTAAGCTTCAAGTCAGGATGATACTAATGGAAAACATTTCTTGTAGCAAAATACATTTATGAATGCAATAGTTTTTTTTTAAAAAAAGAACAATTTTGAAGAAAAATATTAGATTAATGAAAACTGGTTAGTTTCCATCAGTAATTTCTGAAACAGGGTTAGAATTAATTTGAAGTTAATTCTTGAATTCACTCTAATGGCCACAACTAGAAAAATGCTTTATTCTGATCACAAGTTTAAAATTCTGTATAGGTACTGAAAGCAGTTTAAAAGCCAGTGGCAGTAAACTGCAAATATTTTCTTTTTTTTCAGGTGAACTTAGTAATTTCACAAGGACATTTTTTTCTCTCTTTTTCTTTAGATTCCAAATTACTCATTTTCCTCTCAATATACCACCAGTGAACAATGTCATCTCTTTGACAATCCATCAGCAGATTTTAGGATTACAGCGCTTGGCTAGCCTGAGGGTATGGGTTTGTGTGGATGATACTGAAAGGGGCAAACCTGCACTTATGAGAAGAATGCATATTGAGAATGAAAATTAATAGTAATAATGATGCTTATATAAAGCATGGAAGTCTGCATATCTAGTTTTTGAGTAGTCACCCAGGTACTCATACCAAACCTTCAAGATGCTCTAGTGAAACTAGTTACCAAGTTGCTTTATCTCAGAGTCTTCAAAAAGTAACTATTTAACTATTTCAATGAGTGTAAAATATAGAGCACCATGCAGAAGCTTTGGTGGTAAGGAGGTTATCATCGTTTACTGGAAAAGGCACAATGAAAGCAGCAGGAAAGAAAATGTACGTACTGATTTCTGTAGGCAAGATACGGAGGCAAAGAAAAGAGAAAAAACAGAAGATAATGTAAGAAAATGTTTTGAAGCCCTAAAGTGAAATGTAAAGTAAATTAAGGGACAGGATTAGTCTAGCACAAAACATATTTCCTTTTATGTATTGCACATCTACCTAATAAAAATTCAGGGCCTGAAATTTGGCATACAAGAAAGGCTATGTCTACTTCAGCATGTAGTCATGAGGCCCAACATACTCACTATATACATTTGGAGCATTTTTTTCTGCATTTACTTTAATCTCATTCTGTAATCTGAGTATCCACTAGCAGTTGGAGAGTGGCAAAAACATACTTCTGGAGAACATCTTCCAGTTAAGATTTATAAGCTTTATCTGACAGGAAAGAATTTTTAAGTGTTAAGACCACTCCTAATGTGAATGAAATAATGGTGACTAGGAGCAATCAAGAGATTTACTTCTAAATTATTGCTCTAATCTCAACTAAAACACTAATGTACACACAGTCTTAGAATACTTCGGCTAAGACAGATGGCCTAGTCTAAATCCAGCAGTGCCAAGAAATTACTGCTTTTAGGTGATTTCTCAGTTGTTTATCACTACCCTGCCAGAGGTCATTACCTCATAGTTCTGCTTGTTCCATAATCTGTCGTAATCTAACCACGCTATTTCAATCAATAACTACTTTTCATATTATCTAAACTAGTATGAATCAGTCTGCCTGATGGGGATTATACTTGGGGCTCACACATGCATCTCAGTTGATGAGGGATCAGGAGTTTGCAATGGGCAGGCAGTGACAAATAGCTATTAGGATTAACTTCTTTCACTGATACAGCTATAGTTTGAAGAGGATATTTATCCATAAAATGAGAATGACAACCTCCTAAACTGGATGTTTTTAGGTGCCCATCTGACAACAATCTGGGAAGCCCAGGTTAGCTGAGAAATTAATCCTTCAGTAATTTTCTAAAGACACTCCACTTTCATTGAAAACCCTGGATGTATACTCCTGTATCACCATAAAATGTGTTGTAATTTAGAATTCAATTTTATCCATCATAACCAAAGTGAAAATGCTAAAGCGATTGTTCACATTTGATAACAGAATTCACTATTAAAAAAAAAACCAAACAAAAAACAAACCCAAACCACAAAACCCATACACAAAAAACCCCCATACAAATACTATTCCCAGAATTTCCCTTTTCTCTTTCTTCTTCTCTTCAGTGTTCTACCAAAAATAGTAACGGATATGAAAGAAGTCATGCTTTTCTCCCAGAACTCATTATCTGACTGACTGAAGACAGGTTTAGTGCGTGGAATTTTGCTTGAATCAATGGGTGAATTGCCAGTCAGAATCTTTGATTATTCACCTCCTAAATACTTTAAAAAGTAGTCTGCAGAACAAATCTATCAACTAAATGTTCATCCTGCTGACATGAGCTTTTTTCCCCACTACTAGCAGCAGTCCTTAAGATTTAGAATTCTTTTTATATACAAAGTCCAGGAAATAAAACTCACAGACATTCCTTTTATCCCAGCATACTGCAGTAACACTATGCAAGTAAAACTCTGAAGTGTCTCTGTTTCATTTTGAGATGTGAAAAGAAAACCACAAATTGAAAAACACCATCAAATAACTCAAAAAAGACCTTACTGTTCTCGATAGGATCCTTCACAGCAGCATTTGTTTTTGCCACATCGTCTGCAAGTTTACTGTAGTTGTTTCTCAAGCCCAGGAGATTCTGGTTGAGGTCTTTAACCTGGGCCAGGATGTTATTTACAGTATCGTTAGCTTGCTTGGCTTTATCTTTGGCTGCCTGTACCTTCACAGCTGTATCTGTAGGTAGAAAAGGATAATGAAATGATTGCCTAGAGTACAAAGGTTTCATTCACACATTTTAAGAATAAAGTTGGATCAAAATTCTACCATCTTATATTGTGTTGTATAGTTCTTTAAAAGCTTCTACTTCACATGTAGTATGTCATTACTAATTGTAAGTGTGGATTGCAGAATCTGGCCCTTATGGGTTTTTTTGAGATAAAGCTCCAGCCCCAGTTGTATGTAAAGGACAAATAATTTTGAGGTAAGTTTTTTTGTAATTTTTTTTTGTTGTTGTTGACTCACTGGTTAACATCTGATCAATTTTCAGGTACAATATTTGATACTTCTAAAAGAAACAGAACTTTAGATGTTCTGATCTACAAAGTACAGAAGTCTAATTCCATGTGTTTCAGCTGAAGTTGTGACAAATCTTTTCGAGAGTAAGAACACCAAGGGTCCACTGACTGAGTTAAACATATACATCCAAAGACATCCTTGGTGACCTTGAGCAAACCAATTAATCTAATGCTGCCCCACCTCTCTGCCTGCAAAATGAACATGAATGTTCAGTCTTTGGGGTGAAAACATTCAAAACTGGGATGTTTTTGATTCTGCTATTGCTAAATGATAAAACGCACAGCTAGGTATTCAAGTAGGTATTTATTCAGATCCTGTGTTAGTAAATCGCATTGCTTTAAAACTTGTCATGCAGCTCAGGTGCTGTTGCCATGCTGGGATTACTTCACATGATAAACCAGCAGCATAGATTGCGCTGGGCTAGGGAGCTGCCAAATTTGCAGAATTCCCACAGATGGGATCAAGTGAGCAAGCAGAAAACGTTGTCATGATGGACGCTCCAGTTTGCAAGGGAACCTGTGTGACCTCCCACTCTACCATCACAGTGGAGTCGTGGGACCTGCAGGAACCTGCTTTGTCACCTGCTTCCTGTGAAACTGTTCTTGGAGTTGCTTTCCGCTTGTGTACTCCAAGGTATCCTTATGTCAGTCATATGAGCATAGGTTTCCAAATGGTCTTCTAGGCAGGTCCTTATCCTTCTGTGGAACATCTGATGTGACCAAACCTTTGGCCTTGTGAGCACATGACGCTTCCAAAGGCCATAGAGAATTGGTGGGCTTGTCCTGCACATTGAAGAGTTCCAGGATCCTTTTTATTTCCTTGAGTAAAGATATACTATACCTATGCTCCAAACAACTCCACCCTCATTTCTGAAATTTTGGCTCTGAGAAGCCCTCAAAATACAGTAGCACCTCAAAAATACAAGTGAATGCTTAATAAACCATTGATGCCATCAGTACTGCCAACTGGAAGAACAAAGAAAGAGCTCTGACTGCCTTTTTTCACTTCCTTTTTTTATCATACCTAAGTACCTCTATTTGAGGCCATTATTAGAGATCATGCATCTTTCTGGAAGAGTGAAAGTTGAAGTTACTGTGTTATTTCTCTTTGGTCACACAAACTGTATTTATTTTCAGCCACACTTTATGCCATTCCTGCACATGTGGGTCCTTCTCCTAACATGATCTACCTATCTATTCCATTTTGAACCTTTCTGCTTTTATTTGGCAATTAGTATATCATGGACACAAGAATTATTAGTTTAAGCTCCTCTCTGCTTTCTATAATCCTTGAAGACTAAGATATATGATAGGGTCATTTCCTCCCCTGTTCTCATTGGTTATTTCCCTTTTGGACAAGTCATTTACTACATTTTCTTATCTATGGCATTTATTTGCTCTGAATTTAATTCTAATACACAGCCGCTTGTTTTTATGAGTATCCTTGTCCCAAGAGCTAGCATCCTGTAACTCTAAGCTGACAACAGTTAATTACATTGAATGGTTGCATATTTCATATTTCTTATTTCTTTTATTTGTTTCATAGTTAGTATTCTGTGTCCTAAAGGCCTTAAAGGTCTGTTTTGTCTGACTGAGACAAGAAGAGAAACATGTCAGTACCTGTGGCCAAACCCCAGGAAGTGGCATAAAATGACCATACTGCATTAAAACAGATTTTTTTTTGAATGCCTGATTTCATGGATCACTAGATCTATCACAAAATTTCTCAGTTGTCTAGAATCTTAAGGCTACAAAATTGTGAAAGATGAATAGTAAAGTGTTTTTCACACCACGTTTTTACAGTCCAAGCCTTCCAGACCATCACAAATCAGATAGAATATAGATTTTCTTTAGAGACTTTTCTTAAGGTATATCTTCAGTTTATAAAGTGCTCCTTGGAGAGAAAAGTTGTAGCAGATTACATTGATAAAAACCATTTTATTTTCTAACAGAAACATTCAGTTTATCACTGTCCATTATAATGAAACTATGCTGTAGTTCCCTGTCTCTTGCTATCACAACACAAAGCAGCTATCATCCCATGACTTTGCGATTTTAATAACTATTACAGACTTTTGAAATTTTTTTTTGAGATTTACAAATGTGCGCAGCATTTCAGAATTCATTGAGGAAAGCTTGTTCCAGTTCTAAGCAACCTATAGTATATCTAAAAAAGATATACCACACCAAACAGCGACTGGAAACTATACTGCAGCATGAATGAGAGTGTGGTAGACAGGTAAAACAAAACCCAGCAAATCTCATCCTGCTTTTTCTGTGAAACAGTAAGTCTTTATTCTTCTTGGATTAAATTACATTGGCTAAATTATAATGGTTCATTAAACAGTAGTTTCATAAAAAGACTTTTAACTTTTAAAGAAAAGACTGTCTGCCTCAGATTGTATCATAATTCCTGATATCCTAATTCTTTTCTTTCTGAAACCTTCTGCAAGCTGCAAAAGGATGGTACCTTTTACCAAACCAGAATACAAACTGATACCATGTAACTGCTTCCAGTTCAGTTCTCCCTCTCACATTGCTCATCTTCATCTTATTACAGCAGCCAATGGTCAAGGTAAACACAGCATGGAGAAAGGCAGATATTAATCAGACAGATTTTAAGTGATGGAAAATGAAGCAAAAGAGCAGGGGTGAATCAAGTGTTGCAGCACTTTTCCAGCTTACCGTTAGGAATGGCTGACAGCTTTCCTAAGGTTTCATTCAAAGTTCTCAGGAGAATGGAATTGTTCTCATCAGCATCTTTCAGCTTGTTCTGCATGCTGTTCAGATTATTCCCCTTTTCTATAAAAAGTGCAATAGTACAGAATCTTTAACTGTTTGTTTCTACCATCCCTTGTTTGCACATAATTTAAAATGCATAATAATGAGCATACCATTAATCACTAAGATATTATATCATATAAATAAGGAAGTACAATAAAACTGGTTCTAGGGTTCATTGGTAATCTTAAATTCCCTACTTCCATGGTATCAAAATGCTTGCATTCCTTGTACTATTGTATATTTCTCAAGGGTTTTCCTAAGGTGTACAGAAGAAAGAAAAAAAATTACAATCACATATGACTTATGCAAATTCACACTATGACCCTCTGGAAGTTTCAACAAGTATGATGTTTAGTCATAGCTTTGATTCCTAGATTAAGTACTGCTGAAATTTCCTTCTTAAGATGGTTGTCTCGGTTGAATGAGTTGAACATGGCATTAAAAAGGCAAAATTCATTAAGCCAGCTTACTGTTGCAATTAAACTGGCCAGACCCAATTGTCTTGGATTTTCTTGAAGATAACGATGTTGACATAATATCTGAGGAAAACACATAAGATCACCCTAGTACTGATCACCAGTATGAGGAGAATACCCTAACAATAAGTTAACATGAAATAAACATAGCTTAAATTTTTTTTTTAAAGCCTGTCTAGTAAAGCAAAGCAAAGAATTTGTTCAAATTAAAGAACTAGTACAAATCAAAGGCACAGGTGTGTCCTATTTGGTACATTACAGATGAAACTGGTGTTACCCCTTACAGGTAAGTTCCTATGATTAAGCAGTTGCTTAGAATAAAAATTATGATGGTTATTTACTTTTTCTTTTTTTTTTTTAGAGTATCCAGCATAGCAATAATTTTTCAAACTTTCAGAAGCGAGATTCACTTTATGGCTACTTAAACATTATTTCACAATTTAGAAGAAAACTTTGGCATAGAAAATGGTAATTAATGCTTTAACTACTATCTTAGGGGGCATTTGTCATCATTTCTTCGTATCAACATGGAACTCTTCAGAACAGACAGCTGGTAATTTCTTACCTTAAAGGCATGCCCTACCAGGAAACTAATTCAACGTCACTGTGTTTGATAGCAGGAAGATAAGAATAATTTGTAGAAAAGGATTTCAGGACACAGAATGGCTGGAACCTTCAGATATGTGACAAGTTATTGAAAATAAACACCTAGTTTTTGTATACTTATCCAAGTGGATACTGGGATAGGAAAACATATGGAGGTGAGGTTTCTTGGTGAAATTATAGTCACATACTTATCAAACCCAAAAAGCGCCTGTTTTTATAAGGTACAACAATTAGATGTATCGCTGGTACTCCAGCATCTCCAACAACATCAGCACTTTAACCCTTTTGTGAGAGAATAACCAGAATAATAGATTAAAATGAGGGATTGTGGTTCAAGTTCCACAAATTCTAAAAAAGTAAAGTAACCTCTTTGCTTTTTAAAACAGAGCAACACACAGAACTGCAGGAGTATCTGGAAGAAAGCCTTGATTCTGCAAAATGTCCAGCAGAGGAACATGACATTTCTGTGAACTGCAAAAGGCACAGTTGGCACTAGAATAACATTGGGAAGAACCATATAAATTATAAGATCACTCTTCCCTCAAAAGCGGATTTATTTTTAAATGACAGGTTTTGTCTCTACTGTGGAATGAGCTGCTGATAGGTAATGTGATGTTAAACCAGGATGAAATCATGAGATTCTGGTTTTAAAAGCCCTGAGACTGAGCTCATTTACTGTTAAGTAAGAATACCAACAAAACTGTTTTCATTTCTTCCTTTAATTCTGAAATTATGGTCTGCTTGATATTTCCTTGGTGTCTCTGGTGTCTTTTGGAATGTTAGTGTTTATAAAGTGTTTTAATATTTCTGAGATATTTGATTCATTTTCACTGGTGGTATGCTAAGTTCGTTGCATACTCTTAAATTATCTCTTCTTCTCCTCTTTAATCTGCCAGATCCAACATCATGCTAATTATCCCCTGGTTATATTTCTAAAGAATCATGTTTCTGTTTTCAACTTTGTAACCATAGCAGAAACGGATTTTTATGGTTTTTAATAAGGAAAGTTTCCCTAGAACTCCTGAAATTAAATAGTGAGACTCCACCTGTTCAGTACTTTTTTCTTTTAAATCCTTAAATATATTTTAACTGTTTAAAAAAAAATATAGATTATAAGGCCATAAATAAATGCTCCGAAGGAAACTCCTACACAGAGAGATGTTGAAAGATACTAAGGCCTACATTAACATTTCAAGGAAATTGTTCATTTTGCACAGTGATATTAACCTGAAGTTATATTTTGAAGTAACTTCCCATACTGTAATCCAGATGGCCTCTTCACTAATCACTGAGCTAATTCTGTGTATGAATCACAAACTGAACTGACTTCCTGTCAGCTTTTCCCCATCCTTTGATTATCATTTATGAAAAATGCTGGAGCTATGATTTGAAGGCCTGATATCCTCCAGTTAATCATAGAAGCTACATAAAATGCAGGCAGCTACAATCTCAGTTTTTCCAAACTACATAGCTTATCTGACTTGGAAGAGGTTAGTGGCCCTGCACTTAAAGATGCCAGGCACTGTCAATTCACTTTGTAGTGTAGGTTGAGGAGTATCCTGTGAAATTTATCTCAATTCTATTTTGACTTGATTAGCTCTCACAGAGATGGCACAGGATGCCAATCAATGCACTCTTTACTGTTCAAATCAGCAAAACTATTCATGCATCACTGAAACTAAACCCTAAAGAGTAAGCAGTATTATGAAGGACTTTGTAGGTATGGGCCTTTAGGTTTTCTGGCTTGGTTAACACACTCATGTATTTCATCTTGAACTTGAGAACTTAATTACTTACCATTTATATACTTACCATTTGTATGTAGTGATCTATTTTACAAGAGACAAGTTTATACAAGTCTTTACAGATCACATAGATAGGTGGCACTGGTTAATTACTGATGATAGGACACTTGCAGTACTAGTGGAAACCAGTGTTTTCTGATAGCAGGACCAAATGCAGTTTTCCATGTGAAACTGTCCAAGAAGATATCACAAGACTATGCTACCCAATGCATGTACCCCAAAATCAGAATAAAGGTGGAAATCTATCATGAAGCAATATATGCAGCTGTTTATATTGACTGGATACTGCATGAATGACTGGCAGTTACACACATCCCTTTCTGTTATCTTTGTTTTGCCTCTTCCAAATATCATTCTCTCTCCCCACACTCTCATTCTTGTTCCTCACATCCTATGAAGAGGAAGATGGGTCAGAAGCTAAATTTTTTCCCCCTAAAATTAGCAAGACTTAGAAACTGGCATTAGGAACAAACAAGGGGAAAAGATGTAGGTAGAGAAATGCAGCTAATGATGGTTAACTTTTTAAAAGGACTAATTATGGCACTGACTGCAATAATTTGGTGAATGCAATATGCCAGGTCAGCAAAAATACAAAGCATAAGAGAATGCTCAAACAGGGGATTTAGCTGTGCCTATCAGCTGGAAAATGTTTTAGCTAAAAATATTCATGTGTTTTCAGTCTAGACAAGTCCCCCTCAAGTTGTCAAATCTTAAGCAAAAGAAATGACATGAGCTGAATTTCAGTAGCCACCTGACAGCAGTCTCCAGCTGAAGACGAGTTTGTGCATCTTATTTTCACTTTTCATTGATCAGTTTTGACAAAGTCTGTATATAGTCTCAAACCTGCATTGGGCAAGAATATTCTTAAAACAGTAAATTAAAAATTGTAAGGAAGAAAAATTGCTCCTGGCAAGTTGAAAATCCCTCAAGGCACAGAGAGAATGAAGCTGGCAGGCAGCGGCATTCACTCATTTGTCGCCAAAATTTCTAAACTCCTTCTTTGCCAGAGCACTACATACAGATTTTCCTTCTCCCACCGGGGTTAACTCCTAGCCCCACAGAGAGAGAAATGACTAAATCTCCATTTTAATAGCTTCTCTCAGAATCTTTGCTTTCTAAGGACTGTTTCAGCAGTTTTTGGTGGTAATATAAAACAATTCTGTGATTAACAACCATTTTATAACTCTAGTAATTGGCCACAAATCAGAGGAATGTCATAATGTGGCAAGAAAACAGTCTCACCTCCATCACAGACCAGCCTGGAGTTTTGGAGTATTATATTAGTGGTGTGTCTTATGGGTCTTCATTCCTTTAACTAATTTACTAACAGTAGTGCAGACAGAGAATTTTTAAACTTTTAGACTTCTGTTTACCACAACTTTATAGAGCACCCATCATCCATTCTGCACTTCCAGTTGAGACTGAACAGGGTGGCATAACAAGAATCATAAGAAAATACTTTTCTATTAGACATTCAGTTCCAACCTTCTATCGTCAAAACATCAAGACATCCAGAAGGGAGTATGTTCATAATACTAATAACATCATCACTTTGAGCAAAAGCAGGGTGGCGAAAAAAAAAGAAATCGAAGAAATCTCTTTGGTTTTTATTCTTCTGTATCTGTATTCTGGGCACAATGTTAACTGATCTCTGTGGGTCAAACTGTGGAGCACGGCCATGTTTTATTATATGCAAAAAGGTGTACTGTGAAAAGATCAGAGTGTTTGTCTGTATGAAGTATTCCATATCTAAGACGTATCAGAGAGCATTAAGAAAGCTCCATCTCATTATCTTTTGGTATGATGCAAGAGCATAGACAAAGATCTAATAAGTCATTTTAAGCACTGCTCCCTGCTTGCATTAGGATTGCTTTATGAATCTTTAGATTGTTTAGACCTTCACTTCTGAAATATGAAACTGGTATGAACTTAAATAGCATAAAATCAGGGGATAACATACTTTTTTCAAAAATCACTTAAGTAATGTCTTATTGAGACTGTAATACATCTTAACTCAGAGTTTTTCCTCTCTAAATTGGACAGTCTTGTGGGCACATGGAATTCACATATATCCAAGTACAGCTATTATTTAATTAATCCTTGAAAATAGGGCATTGTCTTACATGGAACACATGATTACTCCATTGTAACTGGCTAGGGAGCACATAAAACTATGTACTCCATTCTGTGGTGTTCAATCTGCTCAGAGGAACATTGTGGCAGGGAAGAAGCAGTGCTGCCATTTCAGTGTTTCCTATACACTAGTGATGGCTCACCATGGCAGTTTACAGTCCAGAAAGGGGCACTAATGGCATCCTTATTCATTCTACTTCAGCCATGCTACCTAAATTGCACACTGGCCTCCCTCATAGCTTTGTGATTTTCTGTAACATATATGCTGAAATATTCCCCTCCAGCCCTAAATCTGTACTGAATCTGGCAGTAAAGAGTTGCTGTAAAGAACACCCTAAAAAATACATTCAAGATTTACTAGTAACTGCAGGCATGCTTTTTTTCTGAGAGCTGCTACAAGAAAATAACAATGTTTTTAACTGTCAAACAATGTATGACAATGAAAAGTAATTAATGACCTTATGAAACATTATGCTTTATGACATTATTAAACATTATGTTTACTTTTTAACTAGTTTTGCAATTGGAAATCCTAGAGCTGCCAAAACTAAATTAAAGTGTAGTTATAGCCAAAAGATTATTCTATTCTGTGTGGATCTCATCCTTCATGTTGTATACTTTTTGTAACGCATCTCCCAGGAGGCCACAAAAATTCTGTATGTTAAATCCTGAAAGATTGGGCTCTGTTATAAAAATCTGTCCGGTTTCTAATAAAAAGTATTTTAACTACTCTAGCATGACAGGGAAGCTTCAGGTATCATCTCTGTGACAAGCAGTTTACATCTCAAGCTTGAATACTTACCATGTGTGGCTTTTCTAGTTCTGATGTATGAAACTTCCCCCCCCCCTCCCATTTTTTTTTTTTTCCCCAAAAGCTACGGTGACTGGACACAAGCTTCTAAAAATATACACAACAAAATTTCAAACTACAGAAGGAAGTGAATTACAGTGCACTCATTTGAAATAAACCACAAAGTTTTCAACTTGAACTTATTCTGTCTACACTAATCAAAGTATTACTTAGTATTTGGATGAAAACACTTTCAAAATAGTTGTACAGAGTAGACAGTTAATTGATCCTCCTGTCAGACTTTACCAGTGGCACAAACACTCTATGCTCCTAAGTTGCTTTCTTCATTATATGCAGAACCAAAGCAATTAAAGCAGTAACGTTTAAAATTTTTCACAAAGGCAGATGTGTGAAACGCAGTGTTAGTCTACTTGAAAACAGATAATTGCATCATGCTTATTTCCCCTCAGGTTTCGTTGAAATGAATTATTTTTTTCAATTCCTTTCTGAGTGCTGTGGAGAAAGAAGTGTTGAGTACTGTTAAACAGATGCTTCATTAGTGCTACAGTAAGTGTTTTCTTAGAGGAACTATAAAACAATCTGTCTGGATAAAGATGCAAGAAATAAACTGCTTTTGGTTGCAATGATCATTGAATCATAGAACAGATGTTTTTCAAAGATCATTTTTCTCCTTCTGACCAACAGTCATTCCTCACTGCTGTTTGTCTAAGCTGTTTTCAAAGATTTTCAAAGGTCAAATCTACCTAATCTCCTCATGAATCAATTCCAGTACTTCTGTGTTTTAATTATAAGGAAGATTTTTCCTAATATATAATCTGTACCTGTGCATTTGAGATATTTTAGTCCCATCTTCTTTGGAAAAACCTTGACATAACTGATGAATATTAAATTGCCTCTCTTTCAATTTACAAATTTAAATTATTTCAATCTTCCTCACCTCTCCTCTGCTAGATCTCCAATCAGTCTTCATGATGTCTTTGTGGCTCTCTGCAAACCACCTCAGCCCTCAGCACAGCCTGACCCAAATTATCAGCTTCTACATTTCTACATCTCAACAAACACATAGGGTATTTTTTTCCCCCAGTGGAAAATACTGAATAGAAATTAAAGATACTTTATTTGCACCAGGAAACCAAAGTAGTATTTGGTCTGGAATTTACAAACTTCATTATTTGAGCTGCATTTAGACATTCATTTATGCTTTAGGAACAAAGAAATATTTTGTGTGTGTGTGAAAATAATAATTTTTCTCTAGAAACATGTTTTTAGTCACTTTTTTTTTTTTTAATAAAAAGGAAACACTTAGCAATTCCCTCCTGTTTGGCAAACATCTTAATTCTACCTCCCCGTGCTTCCCTTTCTGGCACAATGCCCTAGGCATTCTAAAGAGATGTGGTATCTCTGACTGGAATTGCAAACCCTGCTTTGGTATTGACAAGGATAAAAATTTAATGCTGTGCTTGGTTTTGTTCTAATTTTCTGCTAGAGCATTCAGTAAATCAGAACCAGTATTTCCACCCCCCTTTCCTCCCCACTGACTCTTGCTCTTATGGTACTTAGCAAGAAAAGACTAAGGCACTGACATCCTCAGCCTTCCTGTCCAAGAAACAGAGGGGAACAGCATCCCTACATAATGCCTGGACCCAAACCAGGAGAATCTTTTTCACTGACACATAGTTCAATTTCATATCAGATGATGAATTATACTTCTTTCCTACTGATACAGCATCTTCATACTGGAAGCATAGCAGTCTCGCAATGTTTTTCTGCTATTTAATGGGCCTGAATGCCATTTGCTGCACATACCTTTAACATCATTTTCTAACATCTTGGCATCATTAAGGACCCTGAAGCTTTTCTGAAGAGAGCTCTTGGCGCCATCCTTCAATGATCCTTGAGGACCAGATGTCTGTAGACAAACAAGCAATGTCATACATACAGGACAGTCTGAAGTCATAAAAGATATATGAAGATGACCTAACTGAATAGTCATCTAAATTTTAAGTGAATGTCAGTGTTCTTTGAATTATGTCCCATTGTCATTATACTGGTCTACAAGACACACACACACACACAAAAATAAAAAATCTCTAATTAATATCCTTTTATTTTTATGGGAAGCCAGATCTCCTTTGTAATACCAGTGATAATTTTAATAAAAAGAGAAAATGTTTGCAGTGTTAAAGAAACAGGTCTGACTCTAGGAGCAAAACTTTGACTCTAGGTCCAAAACAAAGAAAGATATTTCAACTTAAACATGGGTTTTCCCCTCCAGCTACGGACAAAACATCATGCAACACAGTATTCCTCCCTAACAGCAGCTACAGTACCTTTAGAAGCCAGACTGGATTTGATGATCCAGATCCTAGCACCGACATCAGAGATTCATTTGTGGTTAAACTCAAGAATTGTAATTGTTAGGTCAGTAAAGAAAATATGATATAAAAGAAATGAAAGAAAAGAGTTTAAGAAGAAGGGCAAACTGCAGTTAATCTGAAAAAGTGTTACTACTAAATAACCATCCTTCATCATATCACGCTGCCTAAATGTCTTTCTTTTCAAAAACATCCATCTTTATCTTCACTGCAGGGATTAATAGAATGATTTTTCTAAATTAGATTAATATTTTCAGTTGGTAGGAAATGCTCTAGGTTCTGAACCACTTACTGTTCAGTTTATAAGACTGAACTCAGGTCACACATCACACTGAGTACATTTCTTTGAGAATACTCCTGACAGCCAGACAACATTCTATATTAGTCATGGGTCACAGCCTTGTAACTAGTATGTAATTAAGCAGCAGCTACCTTTCATTTTCCAGGGCAGCTTCATATACTAAAAAATTAACTGTGTCAATTAAATGACACAGTTATTATTGCTATTCATTATTTATATAATGAGCAAGCCCAGAGGTGATATTTTGCATACCACTGAATCTTTGTTGTTTTTTAACTATACTGTGAAGCCCATATATTGGATGTGCCCATTACTTTTTGTTTGAGGGAATGTTTTGGACACTTTCGAAATTCAGAACCAAATTTTTGTTACAGGATATCTTACGGCATATGTTGCCATGTCACAGGGATATAGTTATTAAAGATTCCTTGTATTCATACAGGATGTATGCTTAGCTTTCATCACAGGCTAAGTGATTTTAAGAAGTAATGCCAGTAGGACTACCATATTTCCAAGCTCACCTGAAATCTTAAGCTGTGTACACAAAATCCTTTCAACATCAACAAAAACTATCCATTTGAAAGATGAACAAAATTAGTTTCTTATAGATTTTCTTTATCATGTAACACAAGTAGCATTGGTAATAGAAAAATACATATAAACACAGAGGAAAAGGGAAAAAAAAAAGCCATCCAATTGAGCAAAATAATGCTCCTGAAGGAAGAATGTTTGGCCAGATTTTGTGGCAGATGTGCCTGTTAAATCAGATAACACTTTTATAACTCTTTTTCCATTAGCAACAGAACCCAGGGTATGATCACTCTGTTGACCATGGACTTCAGAACCAAAGATCATTATTATTAAATAACTAGGAATGGTTGACTGGCAGTTTATATGCAATAAAATGATGTTGGAGAGCCAGATTTACAATACAAAACTACGAAGTTAATCACATCAGGGACAATAATGGGGCATGTACTGACAATTAGTCAGAAACAGATTTCAACATAAAGTTAATACTAGAAGAGCCCCTTCAGAGACAAATACAGGTGTACTGATTAAAAGCTATATTTTATGTTTATTTTAAAATAATTCTGAAAGGGAGGATTAATTGACACATCTGATGTAAGACATACTATTTTTGCTAGCTTTTCTTGTGGCTTATGAGAAGATGAGTTATGATGAAGTCAATAATGAAAAAAATCAAACACATTCTCGCTTGGTGTGAGGTGAGATTTTGTTCTTGTGGCAAGCCCAGATCATGACGAACCCCTTCATGATTTACTAAAGCTGACAACCAAGGGTCTCTGATATTATTTTCTAAATTGAGACACCCGCTGTAAAAAAAAAAAAAAAACAAACCCCAAAACCCAAAAAAATTTGTGATTCAAGGTAAATTGAAAAATCACAGGATCCCAGGAATCTAATTTGTTCTACTTTTGCCTCTTCCAGAGCATCCATAAGCTTTGGAAAGGACTTTCCTCTCCCTGTGACTTCCTTCACACTCCCTTCCGTCCCAACTCTGTGCAGCTTGAGTGCTTACAAGCAGCATCTTGTGGCAGATTTCATTATGTAACCAAACAATGCAATCTCAATTGTGGTTTAGAGGCATAAATGCCACACTAATATTAAAATGCAAAATGCTGCCACTAAAACCATACATCACCCTTATCAGTCTGGTTTTTCCCATCCATGGAATGGATTTGCAAAAACTTTAGCAAAGTTTAACAGCAAAAAAAAAAGCATCTAACAAACTACAGAAAAACTCTATGAACTGATAATTAGCAGACAACTTTGGGTAAGGAAATGTCGTGGTTTAAGCCCAGCCGGCAACTTGGAACCACGCAGCCGCTCGCTCACTCCCCCCCCTCTTCCTTCCTCCCCTCCCGCTCCCGGTGGGGTGGGGAGGAGTAACTCCCACGGGTTGAGATAACAGCACTCCAGTAACTAAGGTATAATACAAACCACTACTGCTACCAATAATAATGATAAGAGGAATAACAAGGGGAGAGGACACAACCGCTCACCACCCGCCGACCAATACCCAGCCCGACCCGAGCAGCGATCTGGGCCTTCCGGGTAACTCCCCCCAGTTTATATACTGGGCATGACGTGCTGTGGTATGGAATACCCCTTTGGCCAGTTTGGGTCAGGTGTCCTGCCTCTGCTTCCTCCCGGCTTCCCCTCCTCTCTGGCAAAGCATGAGACTGAGAAAAGTCCTTGGTCAGAGTAAATATTACTTAGCAACAACTAAAACCATCGGTGTTATCAGCGTTGTTCCCAGACTGAAAGTCAAAACCACAGCACTGCACCAGCTACTAAGAAGGAGAAAAAATGACTGCTGTAGCTGAACCCAGGACAGGAAAGAATTTAGGAAAAATATCGCCTCTGCCTTCCTTTTCCTGGTATTTCAATGAACCTTGAACTCTTTTTTGCCGAATAGTCCAGCTTCTGAAGGAGTAGTAGAAAGATTTCAGTTCAGCCCATAGCGTGGTGGGTTATGGCATTCTCCTGGGATGGGAGAGATCCTCCAGATCTCCCAGGGATGACTGTGTGAATCACTGACTTACGACATTAACAGGGAAATGTTCTACATCTGCAAGTTTGAATAACATCAGCCATAGTCACAGCATTGTGAAGACACCCCTGACGGCACATGCTGAGCATGGTCTGAACACATCATGCTGAGAACTGCTGGGACTTTGCATCAAGGAATTTTTCCTGAGGATTCATGAACGGATGTAAACATGAAGTAGGCATCATGCTGTCCAAATCTGCTGACATATTGGTGGTTTTGGTCACATGCACAGGTATGGCTCCAAGCACAAATGTAAATGCACTGCATTTACAGTACAGTTTTGAGGATCACATACTTGAACTTACAGACATAGAAAGTATTTTACAGACCTAAGCGCTAATTCACATCAGTTAAAAATAGTTCTGCCTTATCCTTAATTTTTTTTCCCCATGCACACTTATATTCTGAGAAGTTTTCGCCTATGCAAGAGTTAGGGCTACCTTCATTTTTACTAGTCCTGAAGATAGATGAGCAGTCTGAACCAAAATGTGACAAATGATTTGCACCTCAGGACAACCTCACAAGGAGGATCACTAGGCAGCTTTATGACATTACCACATAAGGAAACCTAGACACTGAACATAACTGTTGGGGTACCACTACAAAGAATGTCAAAAGCAAAGAAGGAGTTAGGACCCTAAACACCTAACATGCCCCCTGTGGTTCCAGTTACTAGCCTATAAGCCCCTCTAAAAAGCCTAAGAATTTTTTCAAGATCAGGCACTTAAAGCTGGATCTGTTAACATGACTCTTCAGTCAGTTACTGCCTTGACTAGAATGCGATGTTGAAGCTGCTTGAATGCTAGACAGTTCTCATCTATGATAAATTTATTTTGTGTTTAAAGGGGAGAGCAAAGCCATCATAAAAAGCTCAGGAGGAATTTTTCTGTCATATTCTTAATACATTTTTTCCAGTCATTTATCAGGCTTTCTGTAATTACAATGGATTTTAAGCATCTTTTTGTTCTTGCTTTTAGCAACATTAGCTTAATTTGAAAACAAAATCATTTTCCCATTACAAACCAAAAATCACCCCCCCCCAGATATCACTAAAATTTTTGTAAATTATTCACTCCAGTGACATACAGGGTGGAATTTAAAACTCAGTCCTGCCTGTACCATCTCTACTTCATGCACCAGGTTGCTGCTGTTGGGAAACCTTCACTCCCCTTACCCCAACATCATAATTGGCTAATGCGAAAGGCTAGGCTCAGGGACACATGTGAGCTACAGCACTGCTCTCCATTATCTGTCAGCATCTGGAGATCAGAGTCGTGTCTTACAGAAGACTGGCACACAAAACTGCTCTCATAAAGGAAAGCACATGGCTCCATCTTCCAAAAGGAAGGCAAAACTGATGGTCTCTGTCTTCTACACAGGGTCCCCAAAAGCACCTTCTCAGAAAGGAAGGGACATAGTATCTAGGGGCTTCTGAGTCTGAGGGAGCTCAAATCCACAAATGTTGCCTTCTAGGAGAGTGCTTGAACCTCCATGCTCCAGTCAGCCCTGCACTCCCACTCATGTTGAAGGTCAGCTAGAAGTGGATTCCTTGGGGCCTGCAGAAAGAGGGAGCCTGGTTTACCCGGTTAGCAGTTAAGCTCTTCACTTACGACAAGCAAACATACCACAGTCTTTGCATTAAAACAAAAAAATAGAATAATGAAATGATGACCGAACTTCACAATTAAGCCATTTTTTAAAAGCTGGTCCAAAACTGTCACATGATCATTTACCAAATTAAAAAAATTTACCTTGCTCTGCAGCAATTTGATGGCAAACCACTGATTACTTCTATTCTCTATCAAGCCAATTACATTTAAAAAGCAGCAGCTCCCTCCTTTTTCTTCTTTATTAACTAGATTCCTATTACACATATACAGCTTATAACAAAAACCAAGTTCCTGCTAATGAATACATGAAATGAAGATGCTTAAAACCTCACCTTAATAATATCTTAGTCTCTTTCTTTGCTATTCACTTGCCTCTATTTCCATCATACTATCCATTTTCACCTCCATCCCTTTCAAATTATTTATCTACTTTCCATGGTATAATTAGCCAGCTCACCATCTGATATATACTCTTTTGTAGCCATATTTTAATTGCTTGCTTTGTTTCTTGACTGCTCTATGTGTCTTTTTTTACTATTCAATCCCTGAAACAGCTGCTGCCTCACTCACTGCAAGTTATGAAGGAGCAAAAGATAACTATCTGTATTATATCCTAATGAGAAGAAAAAAATTCCACAGCTCCTTATTTACTTCTGCACTGTAATTAGGAGTTCCAGTGATAAAAATAAGTATTTACAGAGCATACTAATGTGTGAGGTGAAATTTTCTCATCAAGAGAGAAATACAGTAATTAGTGTTTTTTGAAATCGAAGTTGACAATGTAAACAGCCTAAAAATATTAATTTTTTTTTGTGCAGTGGCTAGATCACTTTATCCCTCTCCTAAATACAGACCTTTACAGCATGTGATTGCTTTTGCTGTTCTCATAACCCATTTGACTGAATCAGCTTTCTGCAAGCTACTTTTATCCATGCACAAGTGCTGTAACTCCAAGTTGCTTTTATACATCTGTTTCTGCATCAAATATAGACTCTGGCAATTTCATATTGTACAGTCATTTCCTTGTGTGTCTGTGTGCCTGTGAAATGCATGTCGGCTGCTCTCTGACCAACTTCTACAAATTAGCCATTAACTCCTTTGATATTTGACATAAAAAGTAATTCTGGCTATGCTCAGAATGTTTTCTGCTCACACTATCCACATTAAGGAGCCAAGTTCCTTGTTACTGTTCAGGCTGTCTTTACCTTACAATCCTATTTGCAGAAGTTCTCTCCACTTCCTCCAAAGATTTGCATGCAGTACCTCATAGTAAGAATAAGATTTGTCTTTGAAAACCAGCAGAGTTCACAAAAGAAGCAGTATGGTTTCTATGAATAAAACTTCCCTCTCCCCTCCTACAATTCTCCATTTCTAGAATGCACACAGTTTATCTTATGCGCAGAGAAGTGTCCCTGAGCATTTTCATGGAACTAGAGGGTGAAGAGTTAATTAAGGTATCGAGTTCTTTAAATGTGTGCAAAAAACCTTCCTTAAGTATAAGCTAGCTTTACTGAGTATCAAATGACCTACACTCCTGACTCAAAGCTGTTGGCCTGAGACACAGGCAGGAACTGAAATGTGAAGACAGAGGGAGGAAGAATAGTAAACAAAAGAGAAAAGAAAAATGAGGAGCAGAAGTTAGGAACAAATGGAGATGTAGTCTGAAAGTACATGTAGCTCTGACAGGGGCATAGCTTTCTGATCTCAACACAAGAATCTATGGTGGCAGGGGTCTCTACATAAACTCATAAGATGGCAAAACAGTTCCACAGAAAATCTAAGCCTTTTTCCACAATTTATTTTTTTCTCTTACCGCTTGCATAGCTTCATTTGCAAGAGTCTTGGCTTCCTTGGCAACTTTTTCAGCTTCATCTATGTAATCCTTGATGTTAGTATAAGCATTGAAAGCAAGTGTGGCATTGAAAGAGAGGTTTTTGGCTTCAGCAAGGATTCTGTTGGGATAGGAAAAGTAGACGCACCATTAAACCCGCTATCAGAGCTCAACAGAACATAGTATCCTACTTTTTCAAACCCAACAGCCTGTATTTCTAAGGCTATTTCTAAAGCATTTCTTTAGCGACAAATGCTTCTCTCGAGATTTCAGTAGTTCTGGCATCATGTGTTTAATGGAATTCATATTTTATCTGTGTAGAAAGACATAAAAAAGCAATGTTAGCTAAAAGAGGTTCTATGAGCTAAAAATGGATCAGACACTGAGAAAAGATGCAGTGCTTAACAATATAATGCGGATAACATATATTCATAATGTGCATTTATAGGTTATGTGTTGAGGCAGGCAACTCAATAAATTTTGCAGGGAATGAACATGGGGGATCATCACAAGCACACTTTAAAGTAGACTCTCTGGACACTTAATTTCTTGGTCTGGCTGCCAAACACAGAAATGCCAGGTTTGGAGGAGATCTGATTGTCTAAATCCTAAATGCTAATTTTACTGTCCAAAATTAAGAACACACACAATAATGCTTTATATTGAATAGGATGTTGGTACTTATAGGAAACCATAAATTCTAAGAACAATAATTAGATTACAAGGCAATTATAAACAACTAATATTTCCTGATGAGTAGGCTGGACCTCAGCTAATCCCCTTCCAGGGGAATTTCTAGCCATTAGGCTGGAGAAATCACTTCTCTTGCATTTTCTCTGCATGATATATTCAAATGTTTTCTACAAAGGAGTACTGTACTTACAGAATTAGCCTGAAGACATCTAGCTCAGTATACATTATGTCTGATGCCTATGATGCTTTTCCTGAATAACAAGTAAGTGGGCTACAATTCCCACTTGAATTGGACAAGAATGGATTTGAACTTGGATTTTTGCCTCTCTGGAAATGCTCTAGCCATCAAGTTGTATACTAATATAAAGCAG